TTGGCTCTGCATTTTATAAAACAAATTGGGGTTGGCACATGCATTTTAGCGGCTAGGATGCAGAGCCAACCCCGAGATACAGTACAGACGGGTATGCCAAAACATTGATTAAGTTTTCAACCAAAAGGGGAGATTGGAGAGCTGAAGATAATAAACAAGTATCACCACCGAGTGATATATACAAAATTCAGGTTAATGAGTTATCAGAAATTCCGACTTACAATAATGTAAAAATTCGTGTTAAAGACGAATACGACACCAAAAGCATTTGTGAGCAAATTGTGTCGTGTCATCCGGTTTTACTAAAAGCAAAACTGGCTGGAAGAGGCAAGAGTTATATAGGCGAATATATGAAAAATCTAGGTTATAATGTGTTATTCGTATGTTCTAATAACAAGCAGAAGCAAGAAACCGAAGCCGACGCCGTAACATTAAACAAGTTTTTCAGTATTCCAATAGAAGCTGGAGAAAGACTACCGACATTTGATCATTCTGATTATAATTGTATTGTGTTTGATGAGCTAGGTATGGCGGGCAATTATATTTTGAGCAGAGTTAGGGAGTTTAAGGATACGTACCCAGAGAAGATAATTATAGGAACTGCTGACGGAAGCAGTTGAAACCTATAGCTGATTTAACTAACACCCAGGACCACGAGACATATTTAAACAACTGTCTTAATCAAATATTTAAATATAAGATTTATCTTAAGATATCTAAGAGACTTAAGACAGAAGAAGATACAATTAAATTGAATGATATATATAATGACATTTGGAAAAATAAACTGCCCATTAAGGAAATAGTAAATATACATTTTGAAACTACAAGCGACATCATGGAAGGAGAGCGTAACATAGCCTATGCTAATGCTAGGTGCAAATGGGTAAGCAAGACCGTAAGAAATAATTTAGGAAAGACAGATAAATATGAAATTGGAGAGCATGTGATATGCAGAGTTTATAAAAAGGATATGGGGCAGGTGTTTAATGTACATATTACTTATGAAATTATTAGTATTGATGATTGGAAAGTAGAAATCCAAGATATCAAAAGTAAAACTATATTCATGACAAACACCACGACTTTAGACAAGCACTTTATACATGCGTATTGTGCTACATGTCATTCGTCTCAAGGGGCTTCTCTAGATAAAAGCATTACTGTACACGAATGGGATAAATCACATTTGGTCAGCCGTGAGTGGATTTGGACAGCCCTCACGAGATGCAGAGATATCAATAAAGTCAAGTTTTTCAAAGCAGACGTAGATGATACTGATTTAAATGAAGCACAAGTAACCAGATATTTAGAACATAAGATTAAACAATATAAATTACAAGACATGAAAGCAGAGAGAGAGATAGACAACAAACAATATATTGATGTCAAATGGTTGTTTGACCACACTTTACAAGAAGCAAGGAAACAGGATAACACAATAACTATAAACAATATTAATGAGTTGTTTAGGAAGAATGTAGAACAGAAAGCTAAGCCGAGAGGGCAGAATTCATTTGTAGCTCCTAACGCATATTATGAGTTTCAAATTGATTTATTTTTCATTAATGATATCCCTAAACAAAAAATGAAAGTTGGCATGATGTGTATTGACATATTTTCTACGTATATGGTTGTTGTCCCGCTTATGTCAAATCAGCCAGCGGACATTTTAGCAGGACTGATGGAATGTATTAAAAAAATGGGTGGAAAGCCCAAACTAATTTATATTGACGATGAAGGAGCTTATAATAATCAAAGTGTTATAGATTTCTTGAAGGGTGAACAAATAGAGCTGCACAGAACCAGAGGACACCCAGCATTTGCGGAGAGGGCGATAAGGACGTTTAAAGATAGCTTGTATAAGAGGGTTGAAAACGATGAAAAGAAAGGAAAGGCTATTCAATGGACAGACTACATACACGAGATTATATTAACTTATAACAATGGAATAAAGCACACTTCGCACGGCTTAACACCGTCAGAAGCAAGAAAGCCTAAACATCAATTAGAAGTGAGTTTAAATTTAGGTATGAAAGCCAAAAGAAATAGAGTTTATCCAGATTTAAATGTAGGAAATGAAGTTAAGATATTCAGGAAAAGGAGACCAAATGAAAAGGAGAGAGTAGGAGTATGGACTAAACAAACCTACAAAATAGCAAAGATTGAAAAGAAGTTAGGACAGGAATATTATTATATTGAAAATTATGACAGGGCATTTTTGAGACATGAGTTATTAAAGGTATAAACTTATTTCTTGTAAAAAAGTATTTAAAGAAATATAAACTATATATTATAATAGAAATGGTGGAAACCGAAATCAATAATTATATCAATAAAAATGCTATGATTGTTGCCACTTAAAAAAAGAAAACATGGAATTATATAAATTGAATTTACCTAATGGAATAGTTAATAATATTATTGATTATTCTTTGGACGAAGAAAATATATGTAGAACTTGTAGAAGATGGAGACGATATCAAAATATAATAGAAAATTGTTTGGCGTTTAAAATATATAGATGAAAGAAATGTTGAAGACGAAATATTGATATTTTTAACTGTGTATGAGAGACCACCTTACGATTATGTTAAACAGTTTCTTAAAATCAGTAAGAAAAAGTATGAAATGATTAATGACATATTATGGATGTTGATTTATTATAGTAAACCCGGCGTTGATGTAAAAAAAGTCATAAAATCATATATTGAAAGTGAACAGTTTAATGTTAAAAATACAGTGAGAGATATTAATCTTATTTTTAACATGATGTATGAAAGGGGTAAGATATATCAATTAAATTATTATCCTGAACTTAAATTATAATCAAAATATAATAATAACATGTAAAATATTATATGTTATAATTATATTTCAATATGTAATTTTATTTCTTGTAAAAAAGTATTTAAAGAAATAAACACTATATATATTACAGTGGAAATGTTATTTAATTATTCAAAGGGCGAATGTTGTAAAACTAAAAGGAATGATGTTAATATAACATTGTATAAGTTATTACCTGCTAATCTATGTAATAAAATAAGTGAATATGATGTATATTGTAATCAATGCTGTATAACAAGGGACCTTGAACAGTTTTTTGTTGAAGAACATAAGGATAAGGGATATACAAAGTTTCAATTACAATTGAAATTCTTTATGAGATATCAAAAACGATTTCCTGTATGTTTTTACCATAAAATTGCTAGAAAGTCATTTGAAAAAGAAATTGATGAGTTCTTTAATAATAAAGATTTAATTAAGAGGTTTGGAGGGACAAACGCAATTAAACCATATAAAGCATTTGTTAAAAAATCGAGACATGTTTGAAGCGATTGATTGGCATTTATTAAGTAAAGATAAAATAAACGAGGTCTTGAACGAATTTAGAATAACTAAATATCATGTATGGTCTTACTACAACACTAAATATCAAGTATGGCTACTAGTTAATTTGTTTTTCTGGGAACATATTTATTCAATAATAGGAAAAGACAATATCAAATATATAGACATTGGTGATATTGATAAATATGTAGATTACATATTTGAAGACATTTTTCCTGACTATAAATGTAACCCATAATTCTTAATCATACTATGATTATAACATCTATACCCTTATATGTTATAATTATAATGTAAGTATAGCGTTTTATATATTGAGGATAAAATCCTACAAGGGACACGCGAGCGTTAGCGAAGCTCGCAAGCTATGCGACCACGCCTAAAAAAATATATGATAAAAGTGATGAAACGAAGGAGGGGAGTGATGTTGTTGCTGTTCTATTTTTTGTCCGAGAAATGGACAAATCGTTTTTAGACAGTTCGATTTTTTTTGATGACAAATATGTTTTGCAATATATTTTGCAAATTTTATTTTTTTTTGAAATGGATGAGGTGAGGAGATTGAGGAAATGATATTTTGAAGGGTAGTTGGTGAAATGAATGAGGCGAGGAGAAAGGAGAAAAGGATGTCGAAAATTTTGGAAAAATGATGTTAAAAAACGGATGAGATGGACAGAAAGGAATGTAGAAAAATGATGAAAACGAATAAGGGTAGAAGATGGAAGGTGAAAGAAGTTGTAGGGGGGGGTGTATGTATGAAAGCAATTTATTGCTAGGCAAGGCCCCCGACTACTATAACAAGGCTTACTCACCACTTACGAAGTACCTGATCAGTCCTTGAAGTGTACTTTTTGCCCATGCAAGGCATGTGAGGCCTGGCTTGGTCAGCTGCTAGTCTGGCTTTTTCAAACCGCATCTTCAGTCCATATGCCAGATGGTAGTGATGTCCTTTGTTGTTGGTGTCACACTTTGGGTGGCAGAATGGGATTAGGCATCCCAACTTTTTGAGCCACCCACTTGGTTAAAGGCACCCTTTACGAACCAGCCGGGATGTTCTTTCACCGTCAGCAACCCGAATCCGAGGGTCTCGCGGGAATCAAGCCCCGGCATTCTGTGAAACAGCGCAATTCACGGAGGGCTTCTTTCTTCTTTTATCAAGCTGTTTCATATTGCGGAGTTCTACCTACGGAGCTGCGTTCAAGCGGAGGGCATAGTTGTTTTGTGATGAACATGACATGTACGAATCGACGTGTCAAGGGGCCAGGCGGCCATGCTTGGGTTGCGCGGGAGGCGCTCTTCCACTCGCGTCCTTTAGTTTCATCGGCTGGCGCCGATGCTTGTTGAACAGGGGGTTCGTAGCATGTCGCTGACGGACAAATGGAGAAGTCCACGCACTGGACACCCGACTTTTTGTGGCCGGCTCGCTCCCCATGTGGCGAATGACGCGGCGGTTGCTTCCTTGATTCATGAAACATGGCAAGGCAGGGAACAAGCCAACGAAAACACCAACCAGTTCATTTCTGACCCCGCCCGCCAGATGTCAAGGGCGCCGCTCGCCCGCCCGTTTGCCCCCCAAACTTCAAGCACTCCATTGTACTCAGAAAGTGGTTTGTAAGCCTGCTTATACCCCACTTAGACTCACGACCATGTGGGTCTCCCCATGGAGTCACAACCACTTCCCTGTTCCATGGATCGCCCCTTTCAGGCGGGCGATGGAGCCGGGGAGGCCCGGGCCTTGCTGGAGGCGGCGCGGGCGGAGGTGGCGGCCTTGGAGTCCAAGGCGCGGGAGCCGACGGAGACGGCCTGGCGCCAGGCCTTGGCCTCCGCCGAGGACGCGATTTCGGCTCGGGGCTCGGGGGGCGGGGGCTTCGGACTTCTTCTTTTTTCCCCGGTCGCCGTTTTTTTTTTTGGGGGGGGTTTTCTCGGTTCTCTTTTTTTTTTTTTTGGGGGGGGGGTTCTTCTTCTTCTTCTTCTTCTTCTTTTCCCCCCCCCTTGTTAGTGACGGGTGGTCGCGGGTTGGAAGGTTGGAAGGCGCGGGCTTTGGGTTTCCCATGGCGCTCCCTTATTGGCGCTGGGTTGTCAACGGCCCGGCTCAGTTTCTCATAAGGGGTGGTTCCAACATTTTGGTGACGGAAAGCGCTTCTTGAAGCGCTGGGAGTTAGTGTACGAAGTTGTGGGGGGGTGTGTGGGGGGGGGGGGGGAAACCTCGTTCCGGGTGATTTGCAGGTCTGGTCAGCCGAAAAATACTCCCAAAAAATGGGAGTATTTTTTGGAGCACTTTCTGCCACCGCAAGGCTGGTTTTTGGTGTTTTTCCCTGTGTTTTTCGCGCTTTTTCGTCGACGCTGCCTATCATGTCTGACCTTTTCGTCTGTGGCTCTCGCGGGCCAAAACGCGTGCCAGTTTACATCATTTTACTTTGCTTCCGGCCTCGCCGGACTTGGGCGCACAAGGGGTGCCGGGGATGCAGGGGATGCCGGGGATGCAGGGGATGTCGCTTGTTTTGGAAGTTTGCTGGTGGTCGGCGATGCTGGGGATGTCGCAGGAAAAATACTCCCATTTTTTGGGAGTATTTTTGGAGCACTTTCTGCCACCGCAAGGCTGGTTTGCAGGTCCTAGGGAGACGACACGGGGTGTGTAAGTACGGGCGCTGGTTTGGGTTGTTGCTTGTATGTGATTCAGTGCAGGAGGGTTGTGCAGTTGTTGGTTTGCTCTGACTTGGGTCAAGCTGGCAAGGGACAGCAAGGCAAAGCAAGGCAAACCAAGGGAAAGCAAGGGCAAAGGAAGCGAAAGTAGGGGAAAGCAAGCCAGGCAAGGGAAAGCAAGGCAAAGCAAGGGACAGCAATGGACAGCAAGGGAAAGCAAGCAACAGCACGGGCAAAACAAGTCAAAGCAAAGGAAAGCAAGGGACAGCAAGGGACAGCAACAAAAAAGCAAGGGAAAGCAAGGGAAACACAAGGGAAAGCAAGGGACAGCAAGGCAAAGCAAGCGAAAGCACAGGCAAAGCAAGGCAAAGCAAAGGAAAGCAAGGGACAGCAAGCAAGGGACTGCAAGGGAAATCAGGGGAAAGCAAGGGAAAGGGAAAGCAATGGAAAGCAAGGCAACGCAAAGGAAAGCAAGGACAAGCAAAGGAAAGCAAAGGACCGCAAGGGACAGCAAGGGAAAGCAAGGGAAACCAAGGGAAAGAAAGGGGCAGCAAGGGAAAGCAAGGGAAAGGGAAAGCAAGGACAATCAAAGGGAAGCATGGGAAGGCAAGCAAAAGCAATGGACAACAAGGGAGAGCAAGGCAAAGCAAGCAAAAGCACGGGCAAAGCAAGGCAAAGCAAAGGAACACAAGGGACAGCAAGGGAAAGGGAAAGCAAGGGAAAGCAAAGACAAGCAAAGGAAAGCAAGGGGCAGCAAGGGAAAGCAAGGGAAAACAAGGGAGAGCAAGGCAAAGCAAGCAAAAGCACGGGCAAAGCAAGGGAAAGAAAGGGAAAGGGAAAGCAGGGACAAGCAAACGAAAGCAAGGGACAGCCAGGGAAGGCAAGGGAAAGCAAGGGAAAACAAGGGAGAGCAAGGCAAAGCAAGCAAAAGCACGGGCAAAGCAAGGCAAAGCAAAGGAAGGCAAGGGAAAACAAGGGAAAGCAAGTGAAAGGGACAACAAGTGAAAGCAAGGGATAGCAGGGCAAAGAAAGCAAAAGCATGGGCAAAGCAACGCAAAGCAAAGGAACACGAGGGAAAGGAAGGGACAGCAAGGCAAAGCAAGCAAAAGCACGGGCAAAGCAAGGCAAAGCAAGGGAAAGCAAGAGACAGCAAGACAGCAAGGCAAAGCAAGCAAAAGCACGGGCACAGAAAGGCAAAGCAAAGGAAAGCACGGCACAGCAAGGGAACACAAGGGAAAACCAGGGACAGCAAGGGAAAGCAAGGGACAGCAAGGCAAGGGAAGCAAGGGAAAACAAGGTAAAGCAAGGGGCAGCAAGGCAAAGCAAGCAAAAGCACGGGCAAAGCAAGGGACAGCAAGGGAAAGCAAGCGAAAACAAGGGAAAGCAAGGGAAAGCAAGGGACAGCAAGGCAAGGGAAGCAAGGGAAAACAAGGTAAAGCAAGGGGCAGCAAGGCAAAGCAAGCAAAAGCACGGGCAAAGCAAGGGACAGCAAGGGAAAGCAAGCGAAAACAAGGGAAAGCAAGGGACAGCAAGGCAGAGCAAGCAAAAGCACGGGCAAAGCAAGGGACAGCAAGGGAAAGCAAGCGAAAACAAGGGAAAGCAAGGGACAGCAAGGCAGAGCAAGCAAAAGCACGGGCAAAGCAAGGGACAGCAAGGGAAAGCAAGCGAAAACAAGGGAAAGCAAGGAAATGGGAAAGCAACGGAAAGGGAAAGCAAGGGAAAGCAAGGCAACGCAAGGGAAAAAGCAAGGTCAAGCGAAGGAAGGCAAGGGAAAGCAAGGGAAAACAAGGGAAAGCCATCGCATGCCGTGGCAGGCGCTTTCCGTTGTTTGCCGGACTGGTTTGGGGGAGGGGGAGGGGGGACGGATTTGCAGAAAGACAGGAGGTGGGGGAGGCGGAGGCTGGATGCGACCTTCTTTTGGCGCTTAGGGAACTTGAGAATTTTGAGGGTGGGGACTTGGTTTGATCACCTCACTTGTTTCCACATTTCTATGGGCTCAATCAGCCGGCCAGGCACCGTTGCAAAGGACTTTTGGTTGTGTTGGTTTCCTTGAAATAGCCAGAAAGCTTTTTGGATCCAGGTTGAAGTCACCAAGAAAAGGGGTTGTCCCGGAAACTGTCCAAATCCTCAAAAGCGGTAGCTACACAATTCAAGACATGAACCTTCAGGGTGAAGGTTGCAGATCGAAAACCCTTTGCGAGGTCGCTACAGCTTGCCCAGGTGGATCCATCACCTGAAAACATCCCCAACTTTCTTTCGCGGACACCTTCAACAAGGTTGTTTTCCCTCGCGGCTTGGTTCTCCCCAGTTTTTAAGACTGGTTTCCATTTAGTTTCCCCGTGGTCCCCAGCTTCCCCGTGGTTTGGCCCCTGGTTTCCTGTTGGGCGCCAGGAGGCGGTCGCCAAGGGCGCGCTGGTGGCGCCGGACTTGGGCGCCGCCGCCTTGGCGCAGAAGGCGCGGGCGCAGATGGCGCTGGGCCAAGTGGAGGCCCGGCAGACCGGGAGACGTGCGAGACATGGGGAAGCTGCCGGATGGGAAGACCATGTTAGTGACCTGTGGGGAAGACCTCCTCAAATGGGGAGGAGGACGGTGGGTTCTTGATCATTGGTTTGGTCGTTCTGGGTTCCGACCAATTTCGTGGTAAACCAGAAGCCCACTCAGGAAGTGAAGGGGGGGGTTCGGGACTGGGAAATCAAGGGACATTCCAAGCATTTGTCTGGCGGGGCGAGGTTTTCCGGTTTCGGCCATGTCTTGGATGAATTGGGTGATCGGTGATTGTTGAGCTCGTGACAACAAGATCTAAGGTTCACTGAATATGGACCGGAATCAAACATCTTGAGTTTGGGGGGGTAGGTGGGCTGGCAGCCTCGGCAACGGCTTTTTCGTGGGTCATGCTGATGGACTTTTTGACACTGAAAGCTGGATAGCTACCGTCAAACGGGTCAGCCTTGACCAGAAAGTTGGACCCAGCTGATATGCTGAACACATGGCTTCCCCAAGTCATCAACCCCCAAACATGGGGATAAGATGAGGGTCCGACTTTCTGGTCAAGGCTGGCCCGTTTGACGGTAGCTATCCAGCTTTGAGTTTCAAAAAGTCCACCAGCACCCACGAGAAAGCCGTTGCCGAGGCTGCCAGCCCACCTCAGCCTTTGCCCCCACCAAGCTGCAGGAAGCCGCGCAGAGCTCCGCCAAAGCCGGCGAGATGCTGCAGAAAGTGGGAGGCAAAGCGGACTCCAAGCTTGCCAGGCCTGGTGTACGAGTCTTTTTTTTTTTTTTGGGGGGGGGCAGGTTGGGGCTGTTTCTTGTTTTGTTTTTTTGTTTGGTTTTGTGAGTCTGATATAGGGGCTGTGTTTTGTGTTTCTTTTTGTTTTTTGCCGGGGGGGGGGGGAGGCGTGGAAGGTTCTCAAAATAAAATGGGGGGGGGGGGTGGATCTCCTGAGCGTTGCCCCAACACCCTTCTGATTTCTTGGCTGGACAGTTGCGAGAGCACACTCCACGGGTAAGCAGGGGACAACTGCTCAGGGCTGGAAAGCTTCCTTGTTCTGGCTGGCACTTGGGGCGGCTAGCAAGGGCACGGCATGTCAAAGGAGACACAATAATTTATGTTTTCAGATGTAGGCCAGGCAGCGAGGCAGTAATTCCTTGAATGACAGCTCCGGAAGCTCCCCTTTGCTTGTAAGGTCCCCCTGCAGATGAACATGGCACCTAAAAAGGGGGATCCCCAAAAAAGGAGATCTCTGTAACCACGTGCTTTTCGGGTTCACGTTGATCCGAGTACCCGCCTGCAGCTTCGCTGGCCATTAGGCTGGTGCATGCGCCGCTGGGACCCAGCACGCTGATGCCTGGAAAGGACATGCTGGAGAAGGAGCGTCTGGGTGCAGCTGGGGGTTGGGAGGCGTCTGTGAGGACGAAACGGACCACCAAAAGTCCTGCGGACCACCAAAAGTCCTGCGCCATGCGAACAGGCCTAACAAACCGTCTAGACCTGGTTGGCCACGTGACACTTGCACATATATATATAGAGCAATATATATATATATAGATATGAATATACATTCCCACACGTATGCACACAGGCACACCTGTCCACACATGTACATTTGTCTACACACACACATCTAGAAATGTACATGAGTAGGCATATACGTACACACGTATATATGTACATACGTACGTACGTACTTACGTACATACATACAGACACACACACATACATACATACATACATACATACATAGATACATAGATGCATAGGTGCGTTTGTACGCGTACAAACGTACATGCACGCATGCATGCATGCATGCATGCATGCATGCATGCATGCATGCATGCATGCACGCATGCATGCATGCATGCGTGCTTTTTACAATGCATACATGCATACAAGTGTGCACACACACACATTTATATATATATATATATATACACATACATATACAAATCGATCTCACGTAGATACATAGGTAGATCGCTATATAGGCAAGTAGAATCAGATAGGTAGATAGACAGACAGATAAACAGATAGACAGACAGATACATAGACAGATAGATAGACACAGACAGACACAGACAGACAGACAGACAGACAGACAGACAGACACAGACAGACAGACAGACAGACAGACAGACAGACAGACAGACAGACAGACAGAGACAGAGACAGAGACAGAGACAGAGACAGACAGACAGACAGACAGAGACAGACAGACAGACAGACAGACAGAGAGAGAGAGAGATAGAGAGAGATAGATAGATAGATAGATAGATAGATAGATAGATAGATAGATAGATAGATAGATATGGATGGATAGATAGATGCATAGCTGGATGGATGGATAGATAGTTAGGCAGATGCACGCGCACGCACACACACACACACCCATACACACATACACACATGCACGCATATACACGCAATATCCGCAACTTGTCCGCTTAGCGTTGATCACCGGCTTGTGCAAGCTACAGCTCGCCCGTGAAGATTCGCAAGGTGAGCTTCTCCTCAACGGGCTGAATCACGGGCCACGGAGGGCTGGCCAGCTTCTTCAAATCCGCTGCTACGCAACCCTCGCTCTGTAGAAGCAACAAGCAGGGATGGACCGGACCATTGACTACTTTCACCGCAACTCAGCGCCCGGAGCCAGACTCGCATGACCATGCTATCGACGTCCTGAAGCGCAAGCTCTGCCCATGAGCCCAGCGGTGTCCAAATTCGAGCTGGGTGTCACCCTTTGGTGGTGTGGATTGGTGGGGATCAAATGTGGAACACACCGAACCTCCCAACCTTCACACCCAAGCGCCAACCCAACTCACCAATTGGAAGTAACCAAAAAGTTCCATTCAGAGCGGCCTCAGGACAACGGCCTGGTGACGTTGCCCGAGGACCCCGTCGAGCAGGAGGCGGACCAGATCTTTGCGCAGCGGGTGGCGGTGGCCAAGGCCAAGGCAGCTACGCGCAAGACCCCGCGTGCCGAGAGTTGACTGTTTTTCTTCAGGGTTTTCTCAGGTTTATGGCTGAGTGGTCGAACACGGCCCTGTCTAAAATGCTTATTCTGCAACTTCTTGCCGGGGGGGGGGGGTCCGGGGGGTGCGGCAGTGTGTTACCGTTCGGGCCACATGCTTCAGGGTTTTCTCTAGTTTATGGCTATTTGGTTGGATCTTTGGGCTTTAGCTTGTTGGGAAGAAGTGGATTTTCCGCTGGACCCACGACTGGCTAAACTTTTTGCAGAGGTCTTCAAAAGTGGGCAGCTTGAATGGTTTGAAGCTGATCAACTTTTGATTTGGGGAGATTCAGTGAACCCTGTTTCTGGAGTTTGGTCAGGCAAGCCAAAAGGAAGCGAGCCCCGTGATGGGAGGGGGCCGGCTTGAACGCAAGTGAGCCATGTGGAATCCACGAGGGCACGGGCGAGTGGTGTTCGCCCAGGGGAAACGCACGGTGTCCCTCCGCACAGGGTCGCAGCCTGTGTCATGAACCGGCTGTACCGTGTAGTTTCACTTGTCAGATTGCTTGTCATGAAGTGTGAAACAGCGTTCTGCAGAAAGAATCTTAAGCCCTTCCCTGTTTTCTTTCCCTTCACCTGCCAAACCAACACGCTCCGAGGCTGTCCAGCTCCCAGCCATCCCAGTTGCTTCTTGATTGTCTGAAAGGGAATGCCTTCGTAGTTTTGGGTCCTTAGTGTTGATCTTGTCGTTGTGTTTGTGCCTGTCACATGTCACTTTTTATATAACCATCCGGCGCCCATGAATCCTTGCATGAAGTGACTGACCACTGCTGGTTACTGTAGCTGGAAGCATTCCTTTGTCCACTGGCGGCTTCATCACGCGATGTGCAATTTCAGCCCCGTGCTCGATTGTCCCCCGCTTGTCATAGGCCCGACAGTCAATTGAATACATGTGCGGGTGTGCCAAAGCTCGCCTTTTTTGCCGGCGGGGGGGGGAGTTGAAGAGGGCCGCCAATGTATAACCAACCAGTCGGCTCCCATTTGCCAACCATCGTCATGTTCGAGGGACATATTGTGCCAGGATTGACTCCACCTCCCTGTGAAGGTGCTGGTTTGGGGGTGGACATTAGCTCGTGGATGAAACCCCCTAGGTGCAGCCGACGGCCCTGGTTCGGCAGAGCAGCGGGCTCTTGGTAGAGGCCTCAACCAGCTTGCCTTTCCAGGCACGCCCGCACGCCCGCCCCAGGGCGCACTGGGAAAACGGGGACAGGGCGGGATCGCGCTTTGGACGCTTGGAGGCTTGGGGGGTTTTCGCAGGGCCTGAAGAGCAATGCCCCGAATAAAAACTCGAAGCACCAATTTATCGGCAAGGGAGGGCAGGGCTGTCTGGCACTTGTGCTGGGGCGACGGCGGTACAGGCTTCAAAGGTGCCTTGAAGTTCGGAAGGTTCCCAATCTGCGTGGAAAGCTGCTTGCCCAAGGATTCGAAGGTCACGGCGAGGGGACCAACCAGAACAACGCTCTAGAGAAAGCAGTTTCTCCTGTAGCTGCTGAGCAACTAGGGCAGGAAGCCGGGCTTACGCTGGGCTTGGCTTTCATTGCCAAGTGTGCAAAAAGAGGCCCATACTGTGTGAATGGACAACGCCACTTCAGAAAGCCTGGAAGGATGACCCCCCCCCCCCCAAGTCAAATGCCAACAAACAATGGTTTCCGGTGGCTTAAAGCTGATGTGAACGGACTTCACAACCATCCACAGTAGGTCTCTGCAGTACTAGGGACAAATGCCCTTTGTAAGAAACGCGGAACATTGGGTGGCATGGGTTGGAGGGTACTGGGAGCTTGAAGCCAGTCTTGATCTCCCCACAGAACATGGCATACAGGCCACACATCCACATACCATGTGCCATATACCACATATCACCCCCTATACCATCCCATCGAAGTTCGGATGCCACGTGCCCGTGGCTTTGCGTCAGGTGGCTCTGCGCCGGGACCAGGTTGGGGCGCCGGCGCAGGTGATCGCCCGGTACTTCCGTCATGCGCGGAGTGTTAACACGATGCCCATTATGGACCTCCCAGGCTGATAGTTGCTTCGGAGCCCTTGGTTCTTAAAGGCGGGGCTGGCATGAAGCAAGCTTTCAAATGGGACTGCGGAGGCTTGGGTGTAGGACTTGAACAGCCGGTTTGCCCAAGTGCTAGTGTCTCACCAAGCTAGCCGTACGTAGCACAGCTTCAATTTGGATGGATCATCGACACAGGCCGTGATCTGTGAAAAGTCTCCGGGTTGTTGCCGCGTGCTTTGGTAGAGAAGGCTTGTAACTGACCCCACGTGGCGTCATGGTCGAAGAAATTAGTAGGGGGGAATATGGCCGAACGAGGGTAGCGGCCTCGGATGTTGGGAGAGTCGGTTGAGCGTGCTTGAAGCTTTCCCACCCAACATTTGAGCTATGTCATGGCTCAAGTGATGTATTCCAGGACAAGATGGGACCTCAGTCGCATTTCTCCATTTCAACCTCCTTCTCTTGTTTGGGTGGCCCAGTTGATCCTGGCTACAGGCCCTCTTCGCTGTGTGCACCGGGGCTTTGAAGAGCAGCTTGCAACCGGCCGTTAAAAACGGAGAACCAGCCAAGAGAGGTGGACCAAAGGGCAAAGTTGCCAGCTGGCATGCAATGGTGCACCTGGCACGCGCGCAGAGCGCTGGCGCGTGGTGCAGCTTCTTGGAGGACTGACGGGATGTTACGTTGGGCGTGTTCGGCTCAGAGCGTCTAGTTCATTCTGCGGGGGGGCCGGTTGCAGCACCGCAGCCCGAACACAGTGGTCAGTGATGAAAAAACGTTGCTCCCGAAATTCGGGAACTTTGAAAGATTGTGGGGCGCAAAAGTGGGCGTGATGGGAAGGGAGTTGCCCCGGCCCTGTCCGGGCAGCATTGGCTCTTGTGGCAAGCAGTGCTAACAATCGGTCTGCCGTGAGCTTCATGTTGAGGACCTCTTGCTTCTGTGTGCATGAGGTTTAAGTGATGTCGCCTATCAAAAGGCTGATGTTGTTGCCTGATATTACATGCATACAGGTTGTGTGCGGGGGTGGGAGGGAGCCAACTCTTAACCCAGCAAGCGGCCTGAAGGAACACAAAGCGGTTCCATACGAGTTCGGGGCCAAGACGCAGAGCGACCCCCACGCTGGCTTCAAAGACGTCTACTTTGGCGCGAACGAGCCCTGGGGTGAGACGCTGCATGACATTTTCACATTGATCGCTCACAAGTTTACGCAGGCGGATGCCAAAACTCGGGACTTCGGGAAAAAAGAGAGCAATAGAGGCCATGTGGGTGATGCGTTGCAGGTTTCATTTCCTTGCCAGGTGGAGCACTATGTCAGTGTGGTGGGCTCCATGAATGCCCTGAACTTCCTCACGGCGATCCGGCCCAAACAGATCCACTTCTTCGACCTGAACCCTGCTGCTGTGAGCTGGGGCAAGCTGCTGGTAGAGCTGGTGCGGGCCTCCGCGTCTCCACAGGACTTTGCCGCTCGGAAATATAGGACAGCCAGCTGGAAAAAAGGAGGGAAGCTGGAGAGGCTTCTCTGGCTTTTTTGTAGGGCAACTGAAGGGGTTTCCTCTGGGCTTTTTTTTTTTATGCTCTGATCCCAGGCTGCAAGCAGAAACGCCCTGAGGATTCAGGCCACACGAAAGCTGCTAGGAGCTTGCTGTGCTTGGGCTTCTCTTGCTTTAGGTGCGTCGCCCTCCAATGCCAGGCTTCATCGGGGCTGGGGTTTGCAGCCCGGCTGCCCCCATTCAATCGCTTGAAGCTTCCATCACTAGCTTCTGCAATGAATCTGATGTGGGTGTCCTTTAAAGCTCCGCATGTGCACCCACCCAGCTGTTATGTGCAGCGTGTTTGAGTGGTGTTGGCCGAACACCTGCACCAAAGGCCCGGGGACAAGAAATGCAGATGTCACATGCCCATCTCTTTCGAGAACCAATTTGGGACCTTTGTCATCTTGCTGGTTCTCAGAAGGTAATAGAAGGTAACGAGTTGGAATGACCCTATAAACCGTCCCCCATCATTTCCTTTAGGGGAATCCCCTTCCGGTTCATGCCCAACACCCGGAAGGTCATTCCCTATCGCACGAGCAATGTGCACCCCCATGCGCTTGGCCACAGGTGAGCCGGCTCTTTGCCCGGGACCTCCAGGGCTTTGAGGAGGGCCAGGTGTTGAGCCCTGCGAGCCAGGAGGCCTTCCTGCATCTTGGCGCGCCAATGGGCACGGATGTCAACCAAGCTTCAGTGGCATCTTGGGGCGGCTTCTTTTGACAGGGGATTCGGAGGAGGTGAAGACCGCCCTACCCCGGGGGGTGGGGTGGTGGGGTTGGGGGGGTTTTGAAAGGAAACTAGCATGACACCAACATGTGAAGGTAGTTTCGACGTGCACCTAAGGGCTGGAAGCCGCCGAGTAGTCGACTCGTTCTTTTGTTCTCTTAGGATGTTCAGCCGTAGGATCCCCACCAAAAGAATCCCCTCTAGAAGTGGACACCATTTGCTACACACTTTTTTGGGATGTGAAGGCCCTCGCTTAAAGCGCATTCCCAACAATGCGTGTATCTACTCTTTGGCCTTCTGCAATTATCTAAGAAAATATTTGATTAAGGGCGGGGTTGGAGGCGGGTGGGACGACCATCAGTCCAGGGAATTTGCACCAAACAATGACCATCCCGACATTGAGTTTGAGAAAAGGCACACATCACGGTTCAGTTTCAGAGCACGAAGTTGTTTGGATTCCCCTACCCGCAAATTCGTAGAGATCCTGCATGTGCAGCCAGACTAGGGTCTGCTTGTTGAGACCCCGTGACGAGCAGGTCAGCGATTTGTTTGAGCCTACCCTTTTGCCTCCTCAGCCATTGCTGTGTCTTGTGTGGCCATCGGCCACGCCCTTACACTGTGCCATGATTGATGGGGACAAATCTGCGGCGTGCAATGCGCTGCTATAAAGTCTAACTGATGAACATGCACGCATATACGATGATGAGCATTGCCATTTGTATCTGAAGTCACTTGAACTCCCCCATAAATCAAATTACTATCACAATAATGTTCGCTCTGTGCTCTTTTGTATTGAAGGTGTCTATGACTTCTCAGAAGCATATAATTCATGTATATAAGTATATCCACATATACCCCCACCCCCTCGTTGCCATTGAATCCCCCCACCCGAAATACCCCCTCATCCCCACCGCCGCCCTGATGTTGGTTGAACATCCAAGTAGCCGCCTCAAAGGCCCGCCTTTCCCCCCCCAAAAAAGAGGAAGAATCACAGAAAACGCCCCTCCCCAACCTTGCCCGTCCCCCAACACCCTCAAAGTGGGTTACTAACCACAGTCCCTCTCTCCCACTAACATGGCATCTGACAAGGGGTCCCTCCAAGAGGAAACTGCTCTTCCTGGTATCCTCCCACAGGTGCCATGTTAGAGGGAGTAAGGGTACCAAGTACCCCGCCTACAAAAAGAACAGTCACAAAAACATCTATCCCCAACCTTGCCCCAACCTCGTTCAAAGCGGGTTACTAACCACCTACTAAGTACCCGATCGCGCCTTTAGCCCCTCTCAGGCCCGCTCCAATTCCTCGGTTGGTTTTGGGGTCGCGGAGATCCGAGGCAGCTGCCGCCCTCAGAGGCCATCCGCAGCGAGACGCTGGCGAAGCTCAGCGAGGAGTCCCAGGCGGAGTCCCGTGCAAGGCGATGTTTGGGTGTGAATTTTAAGGAGGGAACTTAGTAGTGCCCTCTTACCGTTTCATTTTTTTTTGGAGCAGGGTTCCCCAACAAAAATAGACTGCAGAAAAAAAAGGGTACCCTTCCAGTTTAACGAGGGACCCTCTAGGCGATGGAGTATCGCAATGTTACGCAGACAGTGTAAGACCTGGCCGGACATCAAAGTTGGGCCCCGTGGAGACCACAAGGCCCCTCGTTAGACGTCAAAATTCGCTGGGGGATTTTTATGTCCAACCACTTGGGAGGGGGTTCTCAACAGGAAGGCTTGCTGGTTCTTAATGTCGACCCAGGAAAAATGAGGTCTTTCTTAGGAAGTAGATAGTAATTAGCTTTCGTGGACCCCGTGCTAATGGGCTTTGACAGTTTGTTTTTGGAACACGCCTCGAATATGTGGGCGGGTGCATCCATCATCATCCATCCATGCACGTGAACGGGCCCCACGGAAAAATGCGATTCCACTGAAGAACCGGGGGACTGCGCATTTCAAGTAGCAAGGACGGAGCTGTGATTTGTTGAATTGAGTCACGCACCTGGCTGTGTTCGCTACGCTTCATTTACGACCATGAAGTATCATGCATATTGATGTGGCAGAGCACACACTTGCATGCAGAACACGCATCACTGGTGCTAAACGCAACATCAGAACAGATACATGAAGACAATCCGTCCATCAAACAACAAGTGAATAACATAAGAATCAGTTTCACGTAGTAAACAACATGGATGTCCGCAACACACCTGCCTCTAACAACTTCGGTGCCCATGTTGCTCGAGATGGGCGCATTGAGCCGAGTCTTCAATTGTCGGCACCCTCTCCCATTCGTACCCAACTAGTTGCTGGCTTGGGCTAAGTCAAGGCGCTGCGTGTGTATGAGTTTATTTTTTTTGGCGGGATACGTTCCTCAAGGTTTCCTGTCAACCACGTCAGGTTTGTCCAGGGTTTACCGTGGTTTCAGACTTGCCTGCTCAAACCTTGAATGCTAGTGCGGGTACGTTCTTTTTTGCTTCTTAACCCCGGATTATGGGTCGTTAGAACATTCTCAAGTGCTTTGATCGGCTTTGTGTGTGTGTGTTTTTACGTTTTTCTGCACCTCTCCCCTACAGAGCAGCAGGGAAAACGGTTGAACCAGCATTTGTTCTGGCTGTTTGTTGAGCTGCGAGTGAAGCGCCCGACAGGACGTTTACCGGCAGGTGGCTGAGCAAGTTGAAGGCCACAAACATGACTTGAACACAGGAGGACGGCCGAGCTTTGCACGTGGAAGGGTGGAATTGGTTCATGAGTCGCACGGGAGGTCCGCAGACTGGGTCTAAAAAGCTCAGTCCCGTTTGCTTTCCGAACGCTAGTTGGACCATCAGACACCAAGCAAGGTAATGTTAGTTCCAGTTCTTCCGGCATCGTTTCCGCGGCTTTCGCATTCTTCAAATCGCTTGGTGCGCACATGTGCGACCCCACGTCTCCCCAGCAGGATTTGCTGACATACGCACACGCGGGGTGGGCTCCCCAAGTCGATGAAGCATTTTCATGTACAGCTTCTGGTCAGACTGGGCCGGCTCAAGATCAAGAGCCAGAGGTGTCTGTGTGTGTGTGTGTAGTGTGTGTCATTCTTTTTTAGGGGCCAAACAAATGTGTAATTTCTCTTTTGGATGCCTTGAGCCCCCAACAAAGGGGGTACCCAAAAAGTCCCAAACAAGCAGCGAGAGAGACAGAGAGAGAGAGAGAGAGAGAGAGAGAGAGAGAGAGAGAGAGAGAGAAAGAGAGAGAGAGAGAGAGAGAGTGTGTGCAACAGGACTTGAGTCAGGCTCCTTTGCCGGCCTCTTCCCCGCCTGGGACCGCGCCTTTGCGGGGCCGCTGACCAAGTCGGGGCTCGGGCCCCGCATGGGCGCCCGCCGCAGCTTCCTGCGCCACGCCTTAGGGCGCGCCTTTTTTACCTGAAAAGGTGGCGGGGATTCGGGTGTTTCTCAGGTTAGATCTCCAAAAGTGGGTTGTTTTCTGGTGGATTCATTTTAAAACCATCCCCAAAATTGGGCCACCATCTTGAGAACCCCAAGTAGGGGGTGGGGACGATTGTCACAAGACAACTAAATACCTCCAAACATCTCAGGCCACACTTGCTGCACAAATTCGTAGCACATAGCTCAGATCCTCCAGCCTCGGCCCAGGTATGGAGAGGGCTTCCTGAGGAGCCAGTGGACCTTTGACCAGGCGACGCTGCGAAGGTCGTTGGAGGGTGACTTTCTTGGGGCTGAAGTCGGCCTAAGACGCCTCTTGACCTCACTGTGCGATGCTTCCGTGCCCACGTCTGTGGAGTTCTTGCCCACTTCCTGGGAAGCTTTCTTAACGTGAGGCAAACATTCTCTGCATAACGCCCGCACGCATGGCAGGGGATTTCTTGCGGGCAGGTCAAGCAAGTTCTCGAAGAAACCCCTATCTCCTGGACTTCCGGGGTGGACTTCCCCCATGCATTTCCTGCAGTGCCTCGGCAACACTTGCGGTGTTGTTGTGCCTCTGAACTCATCGAGACGGCGCTGGAGAGAGAGAGAGAGAGTTGCGGCACAAAGTGCCAAAAGGGATTTTGATTGGTCCCTGATGTCCACAGTTCAATGCCCAGCAGATTGTTCAGCCCGTGTTTCGTGGCGGCGTGGCCTCGTTCCAGAAACTAATGAATCACCAGAGCAACTTGGGAGTCGGCCAAGCATGCCTGAGAATTTTGCCAACATGCCGTGCCAGTTTGAAAGGGAGGTAAGATAATCAGATCGATGAACCCCTATGAAACAAGACAAAGAGATAGCTAGATCTGTGAAAAACTAGAGGGATAGCCAGATCTACGGCGAGTAGAGTTTGGGCACCTTGCTTGGGGCGATGGAGACTGAGGATCTGCTTCCGAAAGGCTCCATGCGGGGCGCCACGCTGCTCTATGCCATGGACATGTGGTCCGGGCCCAGCCATCATGCAGCCAGGCACCGCACTGCCGGGCAAAAGCGAGGGCTGGCCGACTTAAAGTGGGCTTGATGTGAGGTGTTTGTCATCCTGACGACATTGAGTCGAACCAAATTTACCGCAGGTGTTGGCATCTGTCGCCTCAACCAGTTGCTTCCATTGCTTGGAAAGTTGCCCTTGAGGTGGCCTGCGGATCGCATCCGCGCCTGGCAGGCCTGACCTCAAACGTGAAAATTGGGGGCCTTGGGGAGATTTGGTGTCTCAAAGGTTTGGATATTTCGTCATGGCCGGTCTGGGCGCCCTTTACGCCCTTCATTCCTCTTGGTCTTTTTTTAAATTTTTGTGAGGCGACGGAGCCGCGGATGGTTCTTTTTTGCTGCCTCTCAGCCATTTTTTGCCCTGTTAACGAATTCCCTCGACAGGAAGAGGCGGGGGATGGAGGCCTGGTGGTGGTGCAGAGCAAGGGCGATCGCGCGGAGCTGGTACAGAAGCTGGTCCCGGCCTCTGGAGGCGGACGTTTCAGCCAGGTACCCTGTGTCAGGGCGCCCCCGGTGGTTTGGTGGAAGACTTTGGGTCAGCTTCTCCCTTGGCTTGTTGGTTTGGTGGTGAAACGGGGTGGGAAACCCCATTTACCCTGAGTTCAGACCCTCAAACAACCAATCCAAACCACCGACTAAGGGATACCTGATATTGTGTGTGTGTGTGTGCGTGTGTGGCCCCCCTGTTCCTAAGGGGTTTCCGCGGTGTTCTCTCTCTCTCTCTCTCTCTCTCTTTTTGGAGTCGGACGCCACCTTCATTCATGTGCTGACATGCAGTAGCCAGATTGGCCGTTGGCGTCCCTGAAGAGGAGGGCCAATCTTGGCGAACAATGTTCAGGCATGTGTGAAGCCGAAACTCCATTGCCCTGCCGGAGACCTTCAAACAGCCTGTGCCTGCATGGGGGTGCACATTGTCAGTTTCGCCATCTCATATCAAGTGTGTTTAGGCACTGCGTCCGGGCTTCGGTCAGTGTCTTGATCCCCTTTGTGGGCATCTGTTTCGACTCATGCAATGACAATTTCTACAGACTGTTACCGGACCTTGTCGCTCGTGTCGCTTGACTTTCCAGCTGACCTTCTCAACACAGGCTTGGACTTCTCCAAGACGTTTCGGCACCCCAGACTGTTTCCGTGGACCTCTTCAAGTCAGACAAACTGGTTGACTAACCACCAGACCACCCGACACATCAGGCAAGAACCCATGACGCCGTCAGCTTGCTCTTGGCTCGCAATTGTCAGCAACAGATGCCACGACCCAACGCAGGTCCGATGTCGAACTCAGCAGGCCCTATGTCCAAGGCCGCCAAGAACACAGCGCGTCCTACGCCACCCAGATCACCAGTGAGCCAGACAGCATCACCGAGCAGGAGTACACTTGTGGCACCGACCTCCAGCATTACTGGCACATTGTCCGGTACCTCGAGGGCCACAAAACCTTCGGCTCCATCCCCTGCTCCCAGTGTCGCAGCGGTACCTATCTCTGCTTCTCCTACTTGGCCCGGATCCGCTGCTGGCCCACTGCCGCAAATCCTGGTGAAGGCGCGCCCAGCAACCCCAATGACTCCAATGACTCCAATGACTCCAACTACCCCCACGGCTCCAGCTACAGCATGTCCGTCTCCGGCTACCGCACCGACCTCTACGGCAACCCCGCGGACTCCCACGGTCTCTCAGAAAGCGGCAGTATCAGGTCCCACACCTCCACATCCAGCTACTACACTCTCGACTCCCAAACAGGCCCCCCCCATACCAATGCCAGTGACCACCACGACCAAAGCACCGACCCCAACACCTACATCCTCGGCAGCTCATCCATCCGGTCAGATGCTGCCACCGGCCAACCCACCGGCAAGATCACGCCGCACAACGGAGGGCGAACGGTCACGTTCCCACAATGCGTCCCCCTACTCCAAGTCAGTGCCCCCACAGCGTCGCAGTCGAGCTCGCTCCAGGACGCCACCACCGATCTCCCGAAGGGACGCACAATCGGATCATTCAACCACGGCAGCATCGGCTCTCGCCACTTCAGTGCCTACAGCAACTAAAGCCTCATCCCGGCGGCCGAGAAGCAACAGGTCCCCACTTCCGCGCAGCAGAAGCAGTGCTCCATCGGCTCCAGCCCCTAAGACCACCGGTGCTCATCCAGTCACGGAGTCATCCTCGAGAAGCACGCAGCTACGTCCGAATCCACAGGCACACCCACCGCTGATCCTGCTCCCCAACCCACAGTCCGACCCGTGGAGGAGAGAACTTCAGGTGCTCGCCTCGCCGTACGTCCGCGACGGGATCCCGGTTAATCAGGAGCAGCTGGACTATGTGGCCGCTACTCTAAATGCAGCAGGAATACCATCTCAGCACTCCACCCTGAACTATGCGAAGGTCAATTCGGAACATCACTACTCCAAGATCACTCCACACTGGTTCATGCTGACCATCCCCTACCTTGGCGCCACGGTTCGGCTCAAGGAACCAACGAAGACGCGACCCATGCTGCTCTGGACCCACGCGTCCAGTGTCGGCGGTACTCGAGGTATACTACGAAGCCGGCAGATACATCCATCCCGGCAGCACTCCTCGGAGTGCCCAGCCTTTTACGCCCTAGGCTGGAAGATCACTGGACACGCCGATTACGATGCTGAAGAAATTGCCCGAACGATGAGTCAAAACTGGAGTATGTCTTTCAACATGGCCCAACTATTGCTGTTTGGGCGAGCTGTAGGCACCTGTCAGCCGATTCGTGCAGGAGGAGAGCAAGCTTGTACCGAGGCGTTGGATTCCAGTGAACGTCCCGACGTTATACACTATGTGTCAGGCAAGTGTTGGATGGTGATTCCAGAAGCAAGCCAGATCGTTGGACTCGCATGGCCTACCGACGCGAAACCACCCACAGGTGTCCTCCGCTCGTGAACCTGTATCAGGCGATGATTCAGATGCACAATCTACCACTTCGGCAATCCTGCTTTCTATGAGTTTCATCGATGCGCTGGTCTTGCTACGCTGGCAACCCGATCAGAAGAGCTGCTGCACCTGATGACAAGTAATGATGTTTCATTGCAAATGCCACACTGCCGTCTTCGCCCGCCGACAGCATTTTGCGACAAAAAGTGCACGCTAGGGCCTTCTGACGCAAGCACGACTTTATTTTGCTGGTCTTCTTGACGTGATTTTCTTATTCTTGTGTTGATCCGCTTGTGTTGATCGCTTTTTCTTGCCAACAATAAAGGTTCCGGCCTCTGTTTGAAAACCTTTTGTCATAGTGACAACCCGTGCCGTATGCCTAGCGTTTGGTCAATCAATCAGCAAGTGCCAGCGATAAAACCCCCATCCCTTGATGGCTTCTCAGTGGCCCTACTCATGGCCGGCGACTTCGGCAACCCCTTCTTCGCAACCGATGTCTTCGCATCTTCCATCATGGTCGGTCCCGCAGTCCCAGACAGAAGCCTACTCGAGCTCCAACCGGATGGAATCCATGCAGCACCAACCTCGAGAGGAAGCAGTACCCCGAGTCAATCCTCCTCGGCCTCCACATATGGCCTACCAGTTCCCACCGCAGCCTCCTGGTCAGTTCTACAACTATCATGGCGGTGGCACGACCCACATGCAGACAGGTTCTCGGCCCCCACCACCAGCACCACCAGTTCAACTTCAGCCCCGTGCGCCCCCAGGCCAAGGCGATACAACGCAGTATGCTCAGCCTCGCTATGCGCAGCTCCTTCCCAGCACCTTTCAATCTGATGACATCTTCCTCGACAAAACGGAAGTCCGCGGCCTGCAACTATACCGTCACATTCAATCCACTCAGTGGTCTCGACGGGTCGGACTCGCAGGAACAGCAATTCTAGATCTTCCGCTGACACGTCTTCTTCGGGGAGGAGCAGAAGATCACGCACTCCGAGCGCTATCGAACGGGCGATACAGTACACCGGTAATGGCTCAGACAATAGCCAAGGCGGTGTAATTGACATCAATCCTCAAAGCCTTGCGAGGCAGGGAGGTCGACATCGATCGGACTGCCCGCTCCCTTCACCCGGACAATGCGCCAGACAAGCGCAACGAGGCTATGCAGTTCATGGCGCCACTCGCGCTCAAAACCGTGGACCTCATAGAGTCACTGCAGCCCGCCAAGCAGGAGAACCTCACCCGCCGCAAAATTGCCGAATTGGAACATCAGCTTGAGCGCTACAAGAACAAAGGCATCACTGTCACACCGGACAAGAAGCAGCCATCTTCGTCTCCTTCCAATACCACTTCCTGGACTCCCACACCTGGCCGCTCTGACCAGTCCCTCTACATCAACAAAGCGATGTCGGATGCTCAAGGGCCCCTACCAGTTCCATCTCCGGAGGCTGATCCAGCTCCCAAACGACGCCCGGCAAAGCGCAAGACTCCGGAGGACATCACCTTAGATCCAGAACTTTTACGTCAGGGCAATCCCAAGGGCCAGCAGGTCCCACTTCCCACCAGTCTCACGGACAAAGTCTTCAAAGCGTGGTTGCATGAACGCACGCTGTCCAACCAAGCGATCGACTTACCTCGATCTCGTCAAGCAGGAGCTGGCATCGGACACGATGGAGCAGTTGAAAACTATTGCAGTCAAGTGGGGCGCCACTATCTCGCTGGTGAGCAAGGGATCGAAGCGAGCACTCCTACAGTTCATCACGGTGCTGTACATGTATGGCAAGTGAGAGACGCGATGCTAGCGCTCACGATGAAGGATGTTAGCAAGCTATGAATCGGCTGGCACAAAAGGCCCTGCTGCTAGGTGTGCCCGGAACTTGCCCTGAGTCCTTCCTTTGCTTTTTCTTTTTCTCTTTTTCTCGGTCCAGGTTCTGGGGGTTTGCGAGCCGGTGTGGTTCTAAGTTGACCCACTTAACATTTCGGTGCTCGAGCATGTGATACATGGCTAAGCCATGCCGGTTATTCAATCTCCGGAGACGGTGTTTCTCCTGCAGCTCTTCGGCAAGTACGAACGTTCAGAACTATGCGGCGCTGCCAGACACTATGGCATCCCTGAGCCCATGTGGCCAGTCAGCTTGCAGCACGGCACCGACCACTTCCTTCCCTACCTCACGGCGCTCATTGCGCTAAGACTCGGTGATCCACTCGATGTCCACGCATCCTACCAATATTATCAGGTTCTCTACCTGACCATCATTACGTGTCGCAGAATTCTCAACATGCCGATGGTCAACAAGCAACTATCCATGTGGGCCGAGTCCCTGTCCACGCTGCTCATGGTTCATCACTACGGTCGTCCCACACATGCACTTACAGAACTCAGGCGCCGACTACGACGCTTGCGCATCCACCCGAACATGTACTGGAAGCAGCGAGTAGAACTCCGCCCTGACCTTCCGCGCTCCGTCAACCCGCAGTCCGATGTATACATTGGCAGTACCAGCATCACGTATTCCAGCCGAGAGCACAATCGTAGAGCCAAGTTGCTAGGTATTCAACATGGGCAATTTATCAATGCTGAGCCGGCACTCAGATGGTGGCATCACTTCGACAACTATGATGAGTTTGCCACCTGGGTCATCCTGACAGACCCCGACCACACAGTCACCTGGACTCAAGAACATGTTCTGATCAGCATTTATCAGCCGTCGCTTAATTGGCCCTACATTCATCGGCGATACAAGCGTATCTCCACCGGATACACAGCCACCAGGTTTCTTGCTGAACAACCCTGGTCCAGGTTCGGCAAACGCCTCTTCCTTCGGCTGCGAAGAAGGAGCTGCACCATCTATGGCCGAAACTTTCATCGAGTGGCGCTCAAGCACAATCAGGCCTGGTCCATCATTGCCCGCCTCACCTCGGAGCACATTGAATCCTGGGAAGAAGAAAAACGACTTCGCAGCGGACGGCACTCGGACCTGGACATCTATGCCATCTACAGGTTGTCCGGCAATGTCGAACAGCCTCATCGGCATCGAGTTCGCAACATTCTTCGTCGAGTTCTTGATTTTCGACAGCTTCAGCAACCCAGGATCAACCTGCTATTGCGATTACCGTGGCTGTCTCACCCAGATTATCAACGGACCACCAGAGAAGTTCTTCGTCGTCTCGTCATCGACCACCGCAACTGGGCCCTTCCGTTCCACTTACCCAGCACGAAGCTTGCTGAGACTCCTCATCCCCGAGTCCCCACAGTCATGTGGAACTACTCGCCGTTTCAAGACTGCTATCCCTTGACATCCTCTGGGCCATCATCGTGCCAATGCGACGCCTGGCTCAATCCCATGTTCAAGGTCATGTGGCAGCGGGATTAGATGAGTTCCGGTTTCCTGGTACCCCCCATCACGTTCACTACACCTCAGCGCTGGCGTCGTATTATGTGGACTTCGCAGTCTACGAAGTACAAGTTCACGAACGCCTACGGAAATGGTGCTTGCATCACGGACTCCCACTAGACCAGTTTCACGCCCCTCTCATGGAGCACCTACGCAGCCAATTCCAGCAACATCGGCAACACGCATCCACCCATCAGCTCCTTACCAAGCATCAGCTCAACATCCTTCATCGACACCTTTGTATGCCACAACGAAGATCACGACAACCACCACCTCATGTTCTTCTGTCCTCAACTCTACTTCAAGGGCCTCCACAACACCTGGCTTCAGTCAGGCACCTTCGAAGCCACTACACTGAAGCCCGATCAAGCCGAGGCCATTATTCTTGAGGCAATTCCGCGGCACCTGCAGCAGAGGTACAAATGGGCGTACCGGAAGAAGACCACCTCCATCCCAGTTGGAAAAGTCTTTCTCAAACGGAAGAAGCAATGGAAGTCGGGCCGCACCATTATAGCATATCACAAGGTGGTGCACCGGCTGCTCTTCAAGGCAGTCGCCATCCTTCTCGGCGAGATTGCCGCAGACACATGGATGCTCATGGGGGATACACCCCACACCACGCATATGGCAGAACATCAAGCAATACTTTGACAACACAGACGACACAGTCACCCTTGCCTTCCACAATGACGACTTGGTCGGATTCTTCAACAGTGTCCCTCAGGACCAAGTGTGTGCAGCGGTTGCGCAGCTACTAGCCGAGCACCAGCGAGGACGACCCAGTTTCGTGTACTCAGTGGAAACACAGGGAACTGCCCACTACAATCGAGTGTTTGCGGGCAAGCAATCCTACGGACGCACACCGACCACGCGCATCATCCACATGGAGGACATCCTAGCCATCGTCAAGTCCAGCTTCCAATGCATGTATGTTCAAGTAGGGACCCTCATCATGCGGTACAGCAATTGGCTCTCAGCTGAGCCCAGTGCTCAGCCACATATGCGTCGCAAGGCACGAAGTCATCTGGCAGCGTATCTATGGACAATGGCTCACCAGTCACAACGTCTTTTTGGAGAGATATGTGGACAATAGATTTGTCACCTTCCCTTCTCCAGCCTCAGGTCACCCGGCAGCCCCATTGGAGGCACTGCTCCAGGCTGACTTTTACGGTGCTCCCATCGTGCTGGAACAAGTGGGGTCTTCAGAGTTCCTCGGCTTCGTCATCGATGTGGGCGACCGGGCGATTTACTACAAAACCCCTAGCAAAATCTGGCAGATAAGAGGACCACGTACTGCTGGAAGCCTCTCCACCCTTCTCTCCGGAGCTAGGTCACGGTCAGCCCTTGCCACCAAGTACGCGCATCCGGTCAGAGCAGTGCAGATGGCACTGGATCAGCTTCGCAGTATTTATTTGTCCGCCGGCTACAAGTCAGCTGACCTGCAACACCTGTTTCATCTACCGGCGACTCCAACACGAAAGAACTCTCAAGCGCCTGTTTTTTTAGCTTTTTGGCTTTGCGGCTCTCTTTTTGTCTCTTTTTGGCTCTTTTCGGCCTTTTTGGCTCTTTTTGGCTTTTGCACTCTTGTGTCCGCGTATGTCCTTGGGCTTTTGTTTCTTGATGTCCGTGTTGACCATGGTGCTCATACACTGGTTCAAACAGTGCTGCCCTTCCTGCTGATCTTAGTGAGCTGTCGCCATGCTCGGCCGCATGATAGCGCTTCATCACCGCATGACTCAGAACGCTGCTGACATGATGCAGCTCATCCAGGAGACCTTGAACCAAGCTGACGAGGCACACAGTCGCCGGCACCATGACGGGCAAGGTCGCCGACAACAACAATATGCCCACGGCCGGTCGCTGGCCGAGTCATCGCGGCCACACGCACTTGCTCCTGCTGGAGTCGATGAGGTCAACCCACCTGGCCCGCTGATGCTGAACCCAGTCAACCCGGCAACTCCGACCGACCCTCCACCACATGTCGGATTCCAGTCACTTCAGTCACACACAGACCACAGGCGGAACGTGGTGGTCAACCCCAAGTCGTTGTCCTATTGCATCATCGCGGGGGACACCAACGACTCTATAGATCCGCGCTCGAAGAGCCCCATGGTGCACGATTACGTTGGTCAGCCGGGCATCAAGAAGGCCAATATTCCCCGCTCCATCATGGACAAGGGTGAGACCGATCGACGCAGAACAAAACGGAAGCGATGCCGCGCTACATCCTCCGAGAAGACGGACTCGCCGGAACCTCCAGCACGTCCAGCACCTCGCACTCCAGCTCCAGCTCCGGTCTCTCCTTGCGCTGGCCTGTTTTCCTCTCCTGAATCCCTTCCCGAACCTCCTGCTCATGCTCACTCCGATGCCGGCAACCCAGGAACTCCCCCGGAAGTACCTCGTGCCTGGACAGAAGAAGATGACCAGCAGCTTTGCAGCCTGAAAGCGGACAACCGGTCCAAGTACTCGTACAAGTCGCTGGCCAAGAAGCTCAACCGGTCCATCGCTGGAAGAGCCTGGAACGCCTCAGGAAAGCTCGGGAACAGAATCAGAAGACTACCTGAACGTAGCCAACGCAGCCTGCCAAGTCGTCTCCGGTGATACAGGTGCAGTTCTACCACGGATTTGGGGTATCGACTTTTTGAACTCCAGATGGGAGCAATGCGTCCCTCCGGCCACATATAAAAAAGTCCGCAAACAGCCGAGCACAGGCAGGAGTTAAAAAAGTGACCAAATCACCCATCGAGAATCATGATGGAGGCGGCTTTTCGGTTTTCGGTTTTCGGTTTCTGTGTTCTCCCCCTGCGGGGGGTGTGTGTGTGTGTGTGTGTGTGGCCCCCCTGTTCCTAAGGGGTTTCCGCGGTGTTCTCTCGCTCTCTTTTTGGAGTCGGACGCCACCTTCATTCATGTCCTGACATGCAGTAGCCAGATTGGCCGTTGGCGTCCCTGAAGAGGAGGGCCAATCTTGGCGAACAATGTTCAGGCATGTGCGAAGCCGAAACTCCATTGCCCTGCCGGAGACCTTCAAACAGCCTGTGCCTGCATGGGGGTGCACATTGTCAGTTTCGCCGTCTCATATCAAGTGTGTGTGTGTGTGTGTGCGCTTGCCTTTGTGTTTTGTTTGCTTGTGTGTGTGTGCTTACCAAGGTTGGTCAAGTCACTTCTGCTCTTTGCCGGTTGCAGGGTAAGACACGGTTATATACATTGACTAGGACGCGCTTTCTAAAGGTCATTGTCACCAATCGACCGGTTTTGATGAAGTGTCAGCTAGATCTTGGGCTGGTGAGTTGGAGTGTTTTGAGGGCGTGAACCTTTGGCTGTGCATGGTTCTTCCTGGGAAGGTTGCTGCTCATCAGGACAATTGTCGGGTTCCAAAGCCTCAAGTGTCGGTGCCTTGGTTCTATGCATGTTGGCCTGGTTAGGCGATAGAGAGCGGTTTGGATTTGCAGCTGTTGCTGATTTCACCTGTTCCCCCTTGTTGGGCACCTTTTCTTTGGTACTCTTTGAATATCCTGCAGGGGTGGATCCACCAAAT